ATATATATATATATATATATATATATATATAGGTCGTCCACATTAATCCTTTTATCCTCCCATGATCCACTCTGACTCTGAAGCAGACATTGCCTGCCACACCGCAGAGAGGATTGCATTGTAGATGGTTCACAGAGAGGTGGTTTTCTAGGCCAGTGACACTTCCAAACCACCCTGTGAAGCTACACTCTCTTCTGTTGAGATTCCTCTGGTCCGCTGCCATCCCTGATGGGACCACAGCACCTGGATCAGGCCAGCTGTGTGGACTCCAGCTCACAGAGGGGGGTATTGGAAGGTCGCACACAGACGGAGGGGGGCCCATGGTGAGGGTGGGAGGGTGGATGGTGAGGGCAAGCTCGACACAGCGTCCTGGAATGCCCTGGGCTCTGTCAGATCTCGCAGAGGACGACAGGGAAATCTACGTGGATGCAAGGGATCTCCAGCTTTACGATGCCCTTCAGACAGAGAGATGGCGTGAGGTGCGTGGATATGATTAATGACCAACAATACAGCAATCAAAATGAAGCACTGAGTAGCTATACTCTTATTAGGTGAGTAACAGGGCTAATTTTTTTTTTTTCAGTCAAACACTGAATTTGAATGAAACAGAAAAAAATGCTTCAGCCAAATAAATGGCTGCTGTTAAGGAAATAACAGGCAAATGTAGAAAATCTCAACAACTTTTGACTGGTAGTGTAGTGGCAGTAATAAGGAAAGATCAAATTTTTTAACAATTGAGAATTTGAGCGTTAAGAAGAGCTTCCAGACTTTAAAGCTTCATTGGGTACTATAGCAGCTTGTCAAGAAACACACAGCCCAGTGCTGGTAGCTTATTGCACAGTCTGGTTTGTTTTACACCAAAACACTTACAGTAAACTGCCTTGAATGAGCCATTATTAAAATGAAACAACTGAAATCATGCTAGAAACAAAGCATGTTCGCTGAGGATTCCCCATAGAATTTTCAGTCCTTATCTGGATTAATTAATTAATGAAAGATACAATGAAACAAAGTCCGACAGCAACTCTATTAACAGCTAGGATCTCCTGTAGAGCTTTCAAGCTGACATAGTGACAGAAATAGACAGAGGTGCATGATGTCCCCACAGCGAGTGAGATAAAGTGAATACTGCCCCCTACTGGCCTGACAACACATAACTTCAGGCCACCTACAAAAGCTACCAACATGAAACACCGAACTATTAAATTTGCTTTCATTTTCATAAACCCAGCACTTGGAGATCACTGGAAGTCATTTGCTCTAAAAGTCAAAAGCAGAAGTTAAAACACTATCAGCTGAAGTTCTCAACTCTGCTGTGAGCATGGTTAATTGACGAGATCAACACTAAAGATGTGGAAGGAAAACTGAACAGCAGTTTGCCACATCAATGAGTCAATGTCATTACATCTCTGCAACCTGTGGTAAGGTTATGACTCATAAATTATACAGTGCCATGACACGCATCCACTTCAGTAGGGATTTGTGTGGGTGGCCATACTTTAAGATATTTTAAGAACTATATGCCTTGATCTTGAGCTGGTTACATTGTACATGGAAGGCAGACTCACCTGTGGTATTAGATTCTTCTCAATTTTCTTTAATTTGGCCCTTTTGCGTCCGTTTTTCATCACTATGGTCTCCTCGTAAAACTCGTGGGCCAAGTCTCCGTCCTCATCGTAGCACAAAGAGCTGCAAATAACGCAATGATTTGCAATTGGTAATAAAAACAACCGTTATGGCACGGTGACGTAAATAACGCACTGTCAATAACCAGACAATTAATAAAATGTCTAGGCAGCAAAGCTATTCTAGGAATCGATGTGATCCTTGAAATGTTTTGGGGAGCCTTAATCTTGCATGGGCATCACAGATAGATCAACACATTCAAGAACATGAATACACACACACACGCCAAATAAGTGTAACAAACACATATCTTGTAACGTGGGTCTATATTTACCTCCTCCTCGTAAACACGAACGGTGTCGCATTTCGGAAATCTCGGGGCCGAGCCAGAGACTGTGCATTTCTATCTTTGGTCGCATCGGAGCCGGTACCTGAACCGGCAAAAGGCCAATAACCCCTCTTGGATCCACTGCCACCCATCTTCAGCCTTGAAACATTATTACTGCGGGCGACAAACGCCATTTAAACGAATACACGGCTTATCCTGTGTTATCAGGTAATATAATGAATAAGAAGCTAGTATGTAAGCATTCACTGACAGCAAACCATAGACTTCAAGTCAGAGAAGGCAAGACATTACATGTTGGTTTTAAGAGACTGACACTGCTATTCAAATTATTTAGACACGGATACTGAGGCAAATATTTAGTTGGTACTTTTCCAGCCAAAAACTGATTTGAAGCGAATAGTGCGATGACAAAATATTATAACAGCGTGACCCATTACCTTACCAAAGCGTTAGGGTTAGATTTTCGGGTGTCCGTGAAGGATAGAGTTTGCAGACAGCGCAGGCAAGTGTGCAGATACAATTTATGCAAGATACAAAACAAAAATCGGGCAATCACAGACTGTTCAATCGCAAGCTAGCTACTGAAGCATAAATATTTGTCAAATGGTTGTGTCTATATACTTTACTATAATTCAAGCAAACACTGAAAATCAAGAAAAAAATTGTTGACAATAAGAAAATGAAATACGAGGTAGCAAACTAACCCAGCATGACATGTTAAACTGCCACTATAATAAAACCGGAAGCTCTTAGACGTCCCTTGCCAGTCTTCAAAGTTCAAAGGTTTTGTCCTTAAAAAATAAAAAACTGCCGTTAACGTCATTTCCGATGCGCACCCCTTGTCACATGACAGAGGAGTGCCCTAAAGACGTCTACTAACCACCACTGTCTTAAACAAAATTCTTACCATGCACAACGTAATTAGGGAAGCAGTGGCATCCTTAGGGCTATTTTAGGAGGGCTTTAGCCCCCTCAGTAAATGTGTATCTATTGGCTTAACTCATGAATAGCATTTTATGTTATATAGAATTATATCATATACAGTACATACTGTAATCTATCCAAACGTAACATCGCTTCTCCAAATTCATGCTACCGGCGGTATTTAGGACCCGGGGGAAGGGGATGCCCTAAACCAGTAACGTGTAGGGACACAGGTTGCAGCGGGACTTCTGAGCAGAACCGTAAAAAAGAACGGAGGTATATTAAGACAATTTTTAGCCAAAGCGGGAAATTTATGAAGCTTTGGAAAACTTGATAATGTGAAAAGGAAAACTATATTTTAAGTAGCCAATACAGTAACTTTATACTGAGCATATTTGGCAAAACAGACCAATAGTAGGAACCTCTCATGTTACCTCAGGATGTCTAAAAATATATTTTGAAAAATGACTTTGAAAAATAAGCCAAATTTCTGCCTAAATAAGACAAATCATTATAATCATAATAACAAGCATTCCATCTGTACAAGACTGAAGGGATGTATTTACTAATTTCTGCAACTAAATGAATGGCCATCTGAATTTAACCAAAAATTGCAGTATTATTTAACATTGTGTACTCAAAATGAATTATGTTATTGTTATGATGGTTACTGGGGACTGGTGAAATTCCTAATTGTCCAAGGGACAACAAACATATAAATGTTGAAATTAATTTCAATTTTAATTTCTTTTTTCTACTGCACATTTAAAAAAAAAAGCATGGCTATGATATGTGGTAGTTGTGTATGTTTTATCAATGCTCTGAAGAGTCTTACTGATAGTATATCTTAGGACATTAAAAGTACTTAAATGACCTGTGTAGAATAACCCATATGTGCTGGCTTTATTTCCATAAAGGTTTTAATTAGGCTGTGGTTGTCGTCGGCATCATCAGTAAAGTGAGAACAATAAGTGTCATAGAGTAATAGAGCTATGCATGAATCCATAGACCTTTCAAACAGATGAATCATACTCATCATGCTAGTGTGCTGTTGGAGTGTGTTGGAGCAGGAAGTTGAACAGAACCACAACCTGGAGCTGAAGCAATGAGCAGTACTGTATGTTTATTTGTAATAAAATCATAATTTGGATAAAGACAGAACTGACATACCGCAAGTACAAAGGACTTTGGTCTGGGATACTGATGGATATGGAAAATACATACCAACGCTAATATGTCTCACAATACTCCTCATACCAATACTCCTATCTCTAAAGTGTAGTAATGTATAGAATACATCATATTTTGCACACATTATGTCTTGACAGAACTTTGAAGGTCTCCTAGTCATCAGATAAACATTCGGAGTGAAGTAAAAAAAAAAAAAAAAGAATGAATAAAAACGGTTAACAAAAATAAACAGATTCTGTTTCAGGCAACAGAAGCAGATGTATTAACTTCAATATACTGTTGATATAACTTATCTGTGGTTGAAAAAATTATATTTCACCTTCTTCTACAGCAGAGAAGTTCCAGCTACCAATGTTCACAGACAGCCCTAGTAAATCTCACACACGCTCCCTCCACCTATCATTACACACTCAGTTCCTGAAGGCCTTTGTATCTTATAGTATGAAGCAGCCAGCCTTCACTTCACCAGTTCATGGTTGTTAGGTCACTCATTCCCTCAAATTCACTACGTACATACCGCAATTTGTATGATTTTTGGATTCTGGGTGCCCCCTGATGGCGCTGTTCAGACACATGAGTCATATCAGTCTGTGTGATGCTTGCCAGCGCCTCCTGCAGGTGGTCCCTAGCACAGGCATAACCTTCCACTATTTGCCTGATGTGCTCCTCTTCTTCAAACTGCAGGATGTGTAGGAAGTTGCGTAGCTCTGGCTCAGTGAAAGCTTCCCACTGCATGTGTTTGTGCGTGTGTATGTGTGGACGACAGTGAATTAGTTGCTAACCCAGTACTGCAATGGAGTGACCCAGTGACACTCCATTGTCAACAACAATAGGCACAAAATAGCAAATACTTTTGACCAGCATTACTTATTTAATAAATTCTGCTTGTGCGGATAAGTAGTGATGGGCAAATGAAGCTTCATGAACCATTTGCTGTATTTTTTGACCCCACTAGATGGTGCTCTTTGTTTGCTTTGAGCCCTTTTTTGAACAGAGAGCGCCTAGAGGGCATCTAGTCGGATCAGAAAATACAGCAAATGGTTCCTGAAGCTTAATATGCCCATCAGTAGTTATAAGCCATCCCACTGTAATATATGTGTATGCATTTTGGGCATTGTCCACAATCATTAACGATTAATGAGGCCATGTATTAGTATTAAATGTGCCATGTATTACCAGTGATCAGATGCTGGTAGAATGGCTGTACTTACATTGATCTCACCAGGGCTGTTCTCCTTCAGCACCAGGCTGAGGGACTTTTCACTAGGGCCAGCACATATCCGCAGCAGCAGGGGGCGCTCTGAACCCTCCAACTTCCTCTGGTACACTTTGGGGACAAAGAGACAGCGACATCCCACTAATTCATCCTTTCTATTTATTCGTCATGTTATCCACATCATATTCCAAGTCCCCTCCCCCAGTCATATCCAAGATGAGCTATTCTCATAAGTTCTGCACTCCCCTGCGATCTTTACAGGATAAGCAATTGGAAGATAGAAGGATTCAATAACAGTTCCTACTACAAAACAAAGACATCGAGCGCAGTCATGCCCAGGTACTATCTCACCTTGGTCACTCGGCTCTCTGTGTTCAAATAGGGCAAACTCGCCAGGGTTGCCTGTCACACCAAATGTACTAAGCAACGCGCGGACAATGTCATGGGCCTGGGTGGACGAGCTGATGTGCAGGGGCATGGCTGTGTCCAGCTGATAGGAGCTGCAGAGCCTAGGCCTCATACCCTGGCTTGGCACAGACATGGAGCACTTCAGTCTGACCCAGACTTTGATGACACCAGTAAAGGAGCCATCTTTATTCTGCATGGAAGCATGTCAAAACACCACCTCCATTAGTGTGCTAAATGTACGGAGATGTGACTTAAAGTTAAGATTGTTCCTCAAACTATACTGTGAATTATTTGTATTTCTGCATGCTTGGCCTGTGTGTGTGCATGTACTTCATGGATCAAACAAGTGGGTTGGTAAGTGTGCAGATGTATGAAAGAGCATCAATAGATGCACTTTTGTGCTTTTGGGAGTGTGCAGACTGTCAGTGAGGTCACCCACCAGGACTATGTAGAGATCTCTGTTGACCTGAGCGTTGAACTCCCTCACCTTCTGCTGGAGCTCAGTGAAGGACAGCTCGCCTACCCTCCATTCCATTGGCTCATCCTTTTTGGGCACAGAGAGAAGCCCATTGGACAGCCATCAAGCCCTTTCCCCACAGATATATTGGTGCTAGTGATGGTGATACTGCTGGTTATACATGGAAAAGTGTGTGTAAGCAGCACAAACACCAGCTTTAGATGCATCAATAATTAACAGCACGTTTGTAAACCATAAGGGGACCACCAGCAGGGAACCGAAGCCCCCCTGTTTACCACATTGGTGTCCGCCTCCACTGAGTCCTCCGCCAAATCTGATTGGTTGGCGAGGGCCCCGCCTTTCCAGCTGCAGTCTAACTTGATGAAGGCTCTGCAGCGGTAGTGGCAAGTGAATCTGCAGACTGCATTACAGAGCAATGAATGAGGTCAGGTGTATAATTAACACATTGCTGAATCCATCTCACTGTCTCTTATCCAATCATCTAAAGGTTATCAAAGGGAGAGCACAACCTGGATTTGATGAAATATGTATATAAACTTTTAATACTAAATTAAATTGCAAAAGTAAGTGTGGCTTAATGTAAATGTAATGTGACTCCTTATCCTATGATTAACTTATAACGAACGAGCCATTCGTGTGACTGACCTGTTTGGGCAGAATAGGTGAGTCTTCCACACCCACATACTCACTCCTACATCTTACATTATGTCCCCAGCTGACCCTGCTTCTTGGAAATGCGTATCTCCATAATGACTCTCCACCCCTAAAGGCACTGCAATTTCCCCCCACAGCGCACTGGATACAGTCTTGACCCGACGCCCATGAAAACAGAACCTTAGGGTGATGGGTAGAAGGCTCACCCTCTACCAGAAGACCCTACTGCTCTGGTTCCCAGCTGCGGATCTCAAGGCCTGATTTGGGGTCGAGCGTGAACCATGTGATGAAACGTGAGTCGGCCATCACTTTCCCCACTTGCCTGCGTTGGGCGAGTTTATACGCCGGGATAGTGTCTGGCTAACAGGCGCCACTGCCAGAAAGTAGGAGGCCTGTGAGTCGTGTTTATCAGCGTATGCTGTACATCTGGGGGCACAGAGATACGTCAAAGCAGACAGACAGAGAGAGGTGGCATGGCTGACAGGCAGGCAGGAGGGGAACGAGAGCCGGAAGGAAGCACAGGAGGAAGTCAGACATGAGGGAGACGGAAACGGACACACACAGCCGGGGAGGTACTCACGTGTGCAGCGCAGGCTCTGTTTGTACAACCCCCAGATGAATTCTCCACACAGGTCACACCAAGTGGGCTGGGCAAGGCTGCAGGGCTCGAAGGCGTGGCCCTCCCCTGGCCCCTCCCAACACAAGCCACCATCCACCAGCCGCACGGCCCGCACCCTCTCTGAGTCGTGCTGTCGCCCTGTCACGGGGCGGGGGGCCACCAGTTCGATGTACCCCTCTGGTGTCAGGGCCTGCAGCTCTATCATCTCATCCTGAGACATGCCACCCCCAAGGTGACGTCAGCCCTTCACCTCCGGGTTGCCGTGGGGACACACATCCCAGAGGTGACTGACAGGCTTATCTCTAAAGCACCTATTAGGACACCTTGATTAGAATATACTTGGTAACACTACATTAACTTCCTGTCCGACTTCTGCAATCTGTACATTCTGACTAGGTGCTTATTACTATTCTCTCAACAAGGACAGCTTGAAGCGACAGACAGACAGACAGACACCATAGTAAAGCTGAGTGCCTGTGTGGTACAGGAGACCCCAACCTGGAGTGTCTCTTTCCCAATAGGACGACAGAATGTCTCCCTGCCCCGGGGGTTCTCCAGCTTCATTCTTAATTCTGTATCGCCAGATTGCAGAGAGACTTTTATAGTAGCTCAGTTTTCATGTTTTTTCCGCTTTCGTTTAATTATCTAAGATTTAATAAACTCTCCACTAGGAGATCCTAGCCGCGACGAGCCAAAAGCAGATTATGCTGCGTCGATCACGGCCGCTTCCATAAAGGTTGATTTAACAGCATGCATAACTGAACAGCCATCTGTACGTCGATTTTTAGACGAAAGGTTTCACCACCAAGAAAGGAGGTGAAAGCGAACAAATGATTTTCTATAAAACTTAACGATAATTCAGAGTGCCTATTAGCCATCTTTTTAATTTTGACTCCTAGATGTGAAAATGCATTTCCAAGTCCTTTATTGTTGCCAGAAATTATGCACCATCTGATCTCATCGTCGTTCGATTATTTTATTTATATTAAACTTTTGTTTATATTAAACTGATTTCCGATTTATACCGGTTATGATTGAATTAGGCCTAATTAATGCCTGTTACTTTAAATGAGAATAACGTACTGCTTTAAACGCTTTTGTCGAAAGTAAAGTGAGATTAAGGATGGTATTTTAAACTATTCACAGATAATGCAGAATAAAAAAATCATCTATACATATACTAAAGCATGACATCAATTATACATCGCAAACAACAAACAAAATTATTTAACCAGATTTTATGGTAAATTACTTCAGTTTGGCGCACAAAACTAGATTATACACAATTGCAAAGAAATGGAGAGAGATGTTAAGCTTAATACTTTCCTACCGGCGTTATAGCAGCGCCTTCCCCGTACCCCGGGGTGTATAGAGCAGCACTACGCCCGATCTCCGCGTCTTCATAGCGAGACGCCGGCACGTCGCTCCACTTTAATTCGGTGAGAATAAAACCTTTCAGGAATTTTAACAGGCACATGTGCTTTTCAGCGTTTTATAAACCAACAAACAAACCCGTTATATATAGGAACATTTTCTTTCTACAAATATCCACTAAAATTGTTGGAGATGTCTGAACAAATGAAAACTTGTGTCTTTCCTGCCGCGGGGTCATGCCTGTCGCCGGGTCCTCGCTAAAAGCATTGGGACGCCGCTGTACACTGCCTTGAGTCCCGCCCCTTGAGAACAACTGTAAATTGGAAAACAAAAAGATCAATTCATTATTAATGGTCTAGGATCACAAAGAATAGTACAGCTTCCAAGATTACTTCAGAACAGTGATAATTTCGTTGACGAAATATTTTCGTTATAATTTTCGTCAACGACAAATTTTCACTGACGAAAACGAGACGATAACTAAATAAAAATTAAGTGATGATGACGAAAACTATAATAAAAATATATTGACATTTTCGTTAACTAATAAAAACGAGACGAAAATGTGAGTGAGGGACGTTTTTGGAAATGATCCAATCAGAATTAATCTTGGTGCGTGGCGCGGTGAGACGCACACGCACATTTGGAAAATTAAGATACTGATTCACCTTGCGACGCGAGATGCGACAGTACATCTTGCATACATTGGTGGGTGTCTGTCTGACTTAAACTAAAATGACATGGCAATGGCTGGGAGAGAAAGAAGATAAGATATATGGAATAATTTCACGTTTGATGTCAAGACAAACAAGACCTTGTGTAAACCGTGTGGAGCGGAAATCGCTGGTAAAAATACAACAAATCTAAAGCGACATCTGCAAGGTAATTTTTTCAGGTCATGCAGTATTTGCAATGGCATTACTGCCAAATACAGTTTTTCTTTTAAATAATTTGGAGTTGCACTTTTGCTTTACAGAATGAAGAATGTCATATGCAAGTTCTAAACAATGCATATCTAATTTTTGGTTTTTATGGAAAGACGATATTCCACATATTTAATGAGACTTGGCTTTATTTAATTTTAAGTTAGAATATTTTGTATATTACCACGGTTTAACTAAATTACATTTAAATTAAACCCAATATATTTTAGTCAACTAAATCTACAGTAGATTTAGTCGACTAAAATCTTATGCTTTTTAGTCGACTAAAACTAGACTAAAACTAAAACAAAACAGATGACTAAAATATGACTAAAACTAAAATTGCATCTTAGTCAAAAGACTATGACTAAAACTAAATTGAAATCTGCTGTCAAAATTAACACTGCTTCAGAAAAACCTTTCTACACATTAGTGTTGTTCTGAGCTGTTATTTTTGCACTTGTGACTTTCCTGTTAGCTTTAATGATGTGTCCTGCTTTGATTCCTCTCACTAACAGAGAAAAGCCATTGAGTTTTTTTGTTCGTCACACCTTTTTAGGAAACTCCAGCTACTGCAGTGCATCTCAGGAGGATATGTGCATGTGATGTAGCTTATGTGTGTGTGACAAAGAGATGGTAAGAGAGACGGAAATTATTCCACATCAGACTAGCAGGTGTGGCAAATGTGAATGGCACCTCCATCAGTGTAACAGCATGTTGGGATGGTTGCAACAACATATTGCAACTGGCCCTACACTGACAGTCACAATGAAACTTGCTATGCTAGTTTGACACAATTGAAACATGCTAGCAATGCCTGTTAGAAGATTAGAAAACACAGATTAAAATAATGTGACTTTACAATGCTTCACGCAAACAATTTTGACAGTATGACAAAAAACTTTGATCATAAAAAAAATACTTTTTTACCTTGAAATATATTCCTTGCAGAAAGAGTAATCATCTGTCTCTGCCCTCTTCCAGGAAGAAAAAGGGGCTGACTGAGCATGTGCAGTATGAACATCATTACTGTAGCTCATTTCTTATTTTAGGGATAAGCCATGTTGCAACTATCCCCACTCTATCCTACTGGAACATCACGTGCACCTCTGTGTTCACAATGACACCATGTTCAAAACCACTTACGTCAGTAGCCTTAATCACTGAACAGTAAGTGAATCTCTGAGTAGGCCTACTATGTGTATTAATTATGTAAAAGAAAAACAGAGAAGTTGGTAATTTTACATGAATTTTTATTTGTTTATATCAGGGAAAACCAGCTCAGGGAAAGACACTGACTCCTTGTGTGTCCTGAGTCACCAGGGAGGAATTCAGATGTGCAGTGTTCTAATTGGCACTGTGCGTCTCATTTACTGTGGTTTGCAAGCTTACATAATTAATTAAATTACTCAAAGTATTTTAAAAACACAAAATCCTTAGCAAATATTGTCCTGGTTAACTGAAATTTACTTGAAATATAAAAAGCCTTTCTTTAACTGAAGTTAAAACAACGTGATTTATTCTTAGGAATGATTTGAACACATTTGAAATGCTGCTCCATGTAAAATAACTAAAGGCAGAGAGCAGGTTAGTTAAAGCTTGAAAGTTTAGGATTACAGAATTATTCCTCATCTGACCACACCATGCAGCTCTTACTTTGTAATATTTTGCTGAGCTCATGGTCAGTGCTACAGTGTTTGATATTGGAGGTACATGTCTTAATAAGTTAAATGTTAAGTTCAATTTTTTTGGAGGGACAAATTACCCTAATTAAATCACGCCCCTGCTCATCAGTTGATCCAATGGGAAAACAGACTGGAGTATATAAGTCAGCTGCCCTCTGGTGGACAAAAGACCATGTGCAGTTACCAAATGAATACAGACACTCCTTTACTTACAAACTTTCAACTTACGAACTTTCAGACATACAAATGAAGAGGACTGTAAGTCCAAATTGTGTTCATTGGGCTCCCGTTTCCTGTCCCTAACATAAATTTTTTTTCCACGCGCCAATTGCACCTAGTATGACTTCTGGCCGCTACTCCCGCCACACAGCAGCGTAGCGTAGCGTACTGCCAGCATCCTAGTTCTTTGTACTTGCGTGTACCCTTAAAATGATGTTTAATAATGACACGAACAATTCAAGTTACGATCGGCCGTTCAGAACGTATCTCATTCGTAAGTAGAGGAGTGTCTGTATACATAAACGACATGCTTGAGGGGGGGGAAAAAAAATCTTGCATTGCTGTGTGAAAAAGAGATTGCGCCAACGGCACAGCATAATAATATTGGTACCAGCAATTATACATCTTTCTAGATCTTCATGACTAACATTAGGGCCAGTGTTGTGGAAATTTCGCGATGTAGGACTCAGGATAGCGTGAAGTCTTTTCAGCCTTCAGTTTATTGTGGTATCTTACAGCACGGGCCCAGTGAGATACCTCAGGAGTTCTCCCTCGAGCCTCTTCTTACAATTCTTTTTATCCCTGTGTTCTACTGTATGTTTCCATATATGGTTTGTTCCGGTATTTCAGTGCTCGCTATTTCTTGACTAGGGCCTGATGCTATCATCCGACCTTGAACACATGGTTCCTACTGGCCTAGTGCATTCCTCTATTGCTAGGAGATTATACATATACATAACATTCACTACTTTTGTATTACATTTGGATTTTTCTCTCACACCAGGATGGCTCAGTGGGCTAAGCCTGTAATCAGAAGATTGCCAGTTTGAACCCAGCCTCAGCATGTCTGTGGGTCCTTGAACAAGGCCCTTAACCCCCAGCTCCCTGGGTGCCGCAACAGGTGGCTGCCCTTTGCGGATAGCTTACTCTACAAAGAGTGTCATGCTCAGCTCGTATGATCCTTCCGTGTGCCATTGACATTACATATTCTTGTGTTCCTGTGTAAGGATTGAGTCAGAATAAATCCTGTTTATTTGTATCTTTGGCTCCCTTCGCCTGCTTATCTGCTCCTGACGTGACAGAATGACACCACTCAGAGAAAAGGTACCCCCCCCCCCAACGAGGATCGCTACCTCGGTCTGGTAGACGAGGTAACCTACTGGCTCGGCCAGCCCGAAGTCCAAGGGGATCCCGAGGCTTTGCCGCTAGCCAGCAGAAACTGGGACATTCTTGAGGGGATGTCATCGGCAGCTGTTGTGGAGGGTGGCAGAATTAAAGACCCGTGCTACTGAGCTACCTCCAGCTTCGCCCTCCAAGCCACCAGAAGCACCCTGGACTCCACCCTAAGCTGCCAGCCGGAGGAAAAAGAAGCGGAGGCAACAGCAACCAGAGGACAACCCGGTAATATTTCTGGGGGCTGTCTCAATCTCCGCTTCCTCCCACCGCCGATTCATCCAAGCAGGCGAACAAAACTCCCATCACCGCCGCCTCGCTGCGGGTGTTGACAGCTCACTCCTCCCTGGGGACGTACCTGGCCGTTAAAGGGGCCAGGACAGTTTGGGATGCCATCCCACGGATCCCCAAGGCTCTTAAAGGGGCAGCTCCAGCTCCCACGGTTCCTGAGGCACCCCCCCAAAGTCCTTAAAGGGGCAATGCCAGTGACTAAGATGCAAACCCCGGATGCTCCGCCCCCCCGTGGTTCCTGCGCTGCTGCTACCGGCCGAGGTTCCTGTGCCGCCGCCCAAGGTTCTTGGGCCTCTGGCTGATGCTCCGCCCCCCACTGTTCCTGGGCCAGAGGATGATGATCCTTCCCCCGATTTTCCTGTTCCTGCTTTGCCCCCTGAGGTCCCTGCTCCACCTATTCCAGCCCCAATCCCCCCGGCCCCAGTTCCCCAGGTTCCTGATCCTGCTTCCGCACCACCTGCTCCCCTGGCCCCAGTCTCTGTTCCCAAGGAGGTCCCTAATTGCCAGACCATCGCTCCTCCTCCATTGATGGAAGGAGAGGAGGAGCTTGAATGGGACCCCTCTGGGATTTCTCTGATGAGCCCATTGAACCCCTCTGGAGGAGTGAGTCCTACTCCATCACTACCCCAGCATGGTAGATCCTGGCGGGGCCCCCACCTTTCGGTCTCCTGCGCCGGGGTCATGTACTGCCCCGCCCCGCCCCCTGGCTCGCCCTCGGTCTCTTGGGCTGTGGCTCGAGGGGTGCCTGCGGGTTCCCCTCCGACACCTCGTCAGTCATCTGCGGGTTCCCCCGCTTCGACTTGTCAGTCGGCTGTGCCTTCGCCGGCTGTGGCTGCGCTGTCGCCTGCCGCGGCTTCTCCTCCCTCCTCGCCTTGGCCGAGGTCCCCTTCATCTTCCCCCTCTGACTTCCTCCTCGTCTCCACTGCCTGTCCCTTAGTCTTCCTGCTCGCCCCCTCCTACTCCTGCCTTGTGTTCGCCGAGGGTCCCTCCAGCTCCGGCCTCCTGGTCACCTGCGGCTGCCCCCTTTCACCCACTGGGGTTCCCTCGGGCTCCCCGTTTCCCCTCGTCTGCCTTCCTGCCTCCCGGTTTTGTGCCCCCTGTGTCTGCTCCTCGTCCCTCCATTTCTCCTTTGTTCACTCCCCGCCCCTTCGTTCCTTCCGCCGGTGTTCCGTGTCTCCATTTTTGCTGCCCCTGTGCCTGTTTGCTTTCCTCATCATTTGTCAGTTGTCTCGGTTACTGCCTTTGTGTCTGTTCTGTGTGTTTGTCCTGTTCCCAGTGCCCCATTGATGTTTTGCTTTTGTTTTCCAGGTCCCATGTCCCCAGTCTCGTCTCCTCGCTCCCCTTAGGCACGCCTGCTGTGCTCGCCTTTGGGGGGGGGTTCTATCATACCCAGCTCGTATGATCCTTCCGTGTGCCACGCCCCCCTCTTTAACCCCATGTGGGATCCCTACGTTTACCAGCCGTTCTACGTTTCCTGCTATTAGTCTTGTGTATTTCAGTCCGTGTTCAAGTCTGTTTCCCCAGTGGTGTCATTGACATTACGTGTTCTTGTGTTCCTGTGTATCTTTGGCTCCCTTCGCCTGCTTATCTGCTCCTGACGTGACAAAGAGCATGTTGGGGGAGCTGTAAAGACAATTCCCCCCACAGGGATTAATAAACTATCAATTAAAAACAAAACCTTTAACCATGTGTTATTAAAAACAGATTGAGATTTTTAGACAAATTCTATTGTATGGAACTGCATACAAACATTGGAACGGGTGAAGAGCTGGCCACTCACTGCTTTCCACCAAATGAACTGCAGGCCCCTATGTGAGCCAGTTAGCGTGCACTGGGCACCTCAAATGATACCTGACACAGAGCAGCAATTGCACTGAAGTGCTAAAGACTTAATAAAAAAAAATATATATTATATTCATATTTTGATGACTGTTGGGATATAAATGTATTGAATCATTACAACCACTAGTAAACACAAGAGACGGTTATATCATGACGAGTCTCCAGAGTGATGTCAGAGTCAGAAACTTCAATTAAGTGAAAAACTGCAACGCCCATTTTTATACATTACCCATCAAACTACCCACATTACCCACAAAGCCCTCAAATACCCACAAAACAATACACTAACTGTGGATCTTAACAAAATGCTGGCTTTATTTTCTTCCAAAGAGCAGACTTGCACTAAGACCAAGGAGAAATAAGCTCCACACTTTGTTTTGAAATGTTTTTCTAAGTCATTCAAAATAAACATAGAATAGTATCAACAAATACATCAACCAACAGGTGCGAAGTTCGCAAATATCAGTTACAGGCAGAGGGGGAAAGTTCAGCTCCAGAAAGTACAAATCCAGCCCAAGATTTTGTTTTGATCAACCAGCTCTTTACTCTGTGAATGTGAGTCTTTATGCTCAATTGGTTGGTTGAAACAAAATCTCAGTCTGGATTTTTACTTTCTGAACCGGAACTTTCCACCTCTGGTTACAGGACACAAGAAACCCAAGTGCTGCAGGACAAACAAGAAGAACTCATCTGCCGAAAGCAAACACTTTATCTTCTTGTGAATAAGACCATATCAAAGCTTGTTCTTCAAGATAAAACAGATGTAAAACATTCAGCTTCATTAAAGTTTAAAAATAACATTTGCATGTGTCCTTGTGGAGAGTTGCAGTTATATTGGTGTCAGAGAAATTCATGCAAGTTTTGTCGGATTAAAAAAAAATCTAACAATTTAACATTGTCTACAAAATAGGCAAGAGTAGGTCCAAAAATAGTCAAAAACACAACATTGGTCAAGGGTGGCACGATGCCGCAGGGGTCCTGTTATCAGCATCATGGTCTGAATGGTGACCTTGCAATGGCACTTCTTTCAAGACAGGTACAAAATACAGAGCGTGGACATTTCAGAGGAAATCCCTGATAGGAAAGTTCTGTGTCTCTCCCAGTGTTGAATCTGTCACACCCACACAACACACACATCAATACTGCAGCGTACTGGCTGAACACACACACGCGCACACACACACACCCTTTGGCAGACTCGAAGGGCTACAATGTCAGTTCACAGGATCTATATACTCCGATATTCCCACAGAACGTACTAAGCTACAGATTCATCCACGCTTTTAATGCTTCTGAGTGATAGTGATAGCATACATCAGGGAGTTTGTGTGAATGTGTGTATCTCCATGTCTCACTACATACATGGGACTGAACGCGTGTATGTACGCAGGAGCATGTATGTACGAAGAAGGCCTGCATATCCGCGTGCAAGTGCATGAGCAAACGCGGCGTGTCGACAAATCACAGATGTTCAGTCCCGCAGGTCCGCGCTGGAGCCAAACAGCGCCACCAGCTGCTCCTCGTAGGTGGCAATGTTCCTCTGCATGATCTCCTTGCAGGAGCCCAGAAGACGCTCAAATGCCTGCACATCTACGACTGAGAACGAGGGAGAGAGAAAGGAGGACAGGGCTGAGAGGGACAAAACAGACAAGGAAGAGGGATAAAAGCAGAAGTTT